TGCTCCCCTTCTCTGCCATCCCTCTTCCACTCAGGGGAATAGCCCAGCATCAGTGCAGTCCATGCTTGTTAATCAACCACTTCCACATGACACATCCAGCAGAGCTCTCTGAGTGACTCACAGTCACAAACACCCAGGGCACTGATCTTTCCTCTGTGTCCTTCCAGGTTCTGAGGACAACCTGAGTGTAGTAAGTCTACCACAAAGTGAAGATTATGATGGTGATGGTGATGATGATGATGATGATGATGATGATGATGATGCCCAGGTAAGACCACCATTCTTTGTCTTCTAAGGAGGTGCTGGTTTTCTGATGTGAGAAACAAAGTCACCAGTCCAAACCCGAGGAATGGACTCAGGGAGCTTAAAAACAGCAGAAGTGAGATTTTCTTTCCTTTTTTTTTTTTTTTTTTCTTTTTTTCTTTTTGAGACAGAGTCTCGCTCAGTTGGCCAGGCTGGAGTGCAGTGGTGCAATCTTGGCTCCCTGTAACCTCCATCTGCTGGGCTCAATGAATTATCCTGCCTCAGCCTCCTGAGTAGCTGGGATTACAGGCATGTGTTCCCAAGGCTAGCTAATTTTTGTATTCTTAGTAGAGATGGGGTTTCACCATGTTGACCATGCTGGTCTCAAACTCCTGACCTCAGGTAATCCACTCACCTCAGCCTCCCAAAGTGCTGGGATTACAGGCATGAGCCACCCCACCTGGCCGAAAGTGAGACTTTTAATGACAGTGTTGCAAGATCCGGTGTCTGATGGGAAGACACACCCAGCACAGTTTCCACAAGCAATTTATCCCCTAGTGTGCAGGTCCCTGTCCTGGTTCCTCATAGGCTGAGTACTGTGGAGTCACAATCTTCCCAGGTGTTGCCTATTGATTTTTGGGGAGGAGGTTTTAGGTATTTTTCTAGGGTTGTCTTACTGCATTGTGTTGCAGCCCACAATACATTGCCGTCCTAGTCAGTTCAGGGGCTCTTCAAGTATTTGACTTATGACCTAAGTAGCTGGGCAGGCTGATAAGAACAGACAAAATAAGCTATTTTGCAGGCCAGTAAACTTTCATCTTAGACTAATCTTCTTTGGTTGAAGCGAGGACAACTAAGAGGGGAAGAGGGGGGCCCAAGAAGCAGGCATTGCCCATCCAAGCAGGAGCCTGGCATATCCTACTTCTTCTGTCCTTTGCTGACCTAAACTGGTTCAAGGCAGTTTGTTAAAAATGGACCACTGTATACATTATTTCCTTCACCTGATTTCTTTCCTTCTCAATTAATTTTGATATAAAAATATGACAAGGCACATTATGTACAACATACACAATTCTCTTTGTGTCTCGCTCAGTTGGCCAGGCTGGAGTGCAGTGGTGCATCTTGGCTCCCTGTAACTCCCCATCTGCTGGGCTCAATGAATTATCCTGCCTCAGCCTCCTGAGTAGCTGACTACAGGCATGTGTTCCCTGCTGCCACAATTTTTGTAATTTTAGTAGAGATGGGGTTTCACCATGTTGACCAGGCTGGTCTCAAACTCCTGACCTCAGGTAATCCACTCACCTCAGCCTCCCAAAGTGCTGGGATTACAGGCATGAGCCACCCCACTCCACAAAGTGAGACTTTTAATGACAGTGTTGCAAGATCCGGTGTCTGGGATGGGAAGACACACCCAGCACAGTTTCAAACAAGCAATTTTATCCCCTAGTGTGCAGGTCCCTTGTCCTGTTCCTCATATAGGCTGGAGGTACTGTGGGAGTCACAATCTTCCCAGGTGTTGTCATTGATTTTTGGGGAGGAGGTTTTAGGTATTTTTCTAGGGTTGTCTTACTGTGATTGTGTTGCAGCCCACAATGCATTGCCGGGCCCTAGTCAGTTCAGGGGCTCTTCAAGTATTTGACTTATGACCTAAGTAGCTGGGCAGGCTGATAAGAACAGACAAAATAAGCTATTTTGCAGGCCAGTAAACTTTCATCTTAGACTAATCTTCTTGGTTGAAGAGGACAACTAAGAGGGGAAGAGGGGGCCCAAGAAGCAGGTAGATTGGCTCATCCAAGCAGGAGCCTGGCATATCCTACTTCTTCTGTCCTTTGCTGACCTAAACTGGTTCAAGGCAGTTTGTTAAAAATGGACCACTGTATACATTATTTCCTTCACCTGATTTCTTTCCTTCTCAATTAATTTTGATATAAAAATATGACAAGGCACATTATGTACAACATACACAATTTTTGTGGGAGATGGAGTTCAGTGGGAGTTTTTTCATCTAATATATGACACACTAAGATGAGCTTTAAGGATAGTATCCATCATCAGCTGTAATGCAGAGGCATTTTCCTCCACACCAGTTTTTCTCCTTGATTCGGCATTGCATTTACCAATCTAAATCAACTCCTCAAGACACTTGTGGGAAAAGCCTTGTCTTTTCCACAGGTGTCCTCTATGCTAGAATGTTAGCTTTGACCTTGACTCACCACTGTTTCACAAGTAGTTTTGTAAGTCATCAGAGACTAACAGATCTGTGTAAGGGGTGCAGCAGAATCGATCTGATCCTCATGACATCTTCTTTTGTCTCATTGCAGATTTCACCGTCATCTGTCCTGGGTATGTACCTTGAACTAACTCACTTTCTGAGAAACAAACTTGCTGGCTTTAATATATAGAAACCTTAATCTGGGTTCCTGTTAAAAATATTGAGGGTGTGGTGAGAGGAAATGATTTTGCAAGTGTATAACTATGACCAGCGGGGCTGTAGAAATGTGTGTGAACTCAGAGGACCAACCAGGAGATTTTGTGTGAGGCAGTGTGTCTTCACCTGGAGTAGGAGAAGTGAGTGCACCTCTCACTGACTTATCCTGATGTTGGTGGCTCTAAAGAGTGGATTCTGGAGAATCTCAGCGGGGAAGAGGATGCCTTTCCAGGTAGGCAAGAAGATTTCAGGTGGGGTCTAATAAAACAGCATTTCCAGGAGCCTTCATGTTATACTTGCTGCTTGGGAGGCTGAGGGAGGGTGTAGAAAGAGAAAAAGAAAAGGTAAATATAAGCCGCATTTGTTATTTTCAGAGTTTAATGTCATCATGGTGAGGAGTACTGTGTTTATGAGCTTTTGAGTATCCTGTGCTTTCGATCACCTCTTCTTGCTTTATTACTTAAAGATGATTTTTCTGAGAACACCTACTCTTTTCTGCCTATGTCACTGCAAAATATCAGAGCCTTTGGTTTGGGACACAGTTCTGTTACAGGCAGTTACTTCATCCTGGATATAAAATTCTGCGGTGTGCCCAGATGCATAGGAGAGATGGATCCTCACCTTTATGAACTGTTAGCTTTCATGGCAGCAAGTTCATTTGTCTGTCCTTGCTGTTTACCTCTGGTATCAAGACATCTCCCTGGGCATGGAGGACAGGATGAAAATTCACTCTGGGCTCACTGCAAAAGCTCCAGTGTCTTGGAAATGGAAGGAGAAGCACAACCTTGAGCACACTGTCAGCATTCAATTTTTCCTTTGAATGAGCATGTGCAGTTTAACCATCATTTGCGGAAGAGGCTTTCCTTCCCCGTTGTGTATTCTTGGCACCTCTGTTGAAGATCAGCTGACTCTGTATGTGTGCATTTAATTCTGGGCTCTCGATTCTATATCTGTGATACTTATGGGTGCCCTCATGCTGGAAGCATGCTGTCTGAATTTCTCTGTTTTTTGTAGATTTCAGTCCATGAATGTGCTTCCTCTAACACTATTCTTTTTCAATGTTACCATGGTTATTTGAGGCACATAAAAATTCATTAAATCTTAGGATTATCTTTTCCATTTCTGCACAGATGGCTGCTGCCAGTTTAATAGCAGTTGTTGTGAGTCTGCAGATCATTTGTGTAATATTGTGTGTTAGTCATGCTTAGTCTTCCTATCCATGAGTACGGCATGCCTTTCAAGTTATTTGTAAGGTCTTTACTTTCTAGAATCTTTATGTTGACAGCTGATTAGTTAGATTTAACATGACTGATATACATTTGTGATTTTTTTTTTTTTTTTTTTTGAGTAGAGTCTCACTCTGTCACCATACTGGGTGCAATGATGTGATCTCCGCTCACTGCCACCTCTGCCTTCCGGGTTCAAGTGATTCTCTTGCCTTAGCCTCCCAAGTAACTGGGACTACAGGTGCATGCCACCACGTCCAGCTAATTTTTGTATTTTTAGTAGAGATGTGGTTTCACCATGTTGGCCGGGATGGTCTCGATCTCTTGACTTTGTGATCCGCCCACCTCGGACTCCCAAAGTGCTGGAATTACAGGGATGAGCCCCCATGCCTGGCCAAACTTGTGACACCTTATACCAATATTTTGTATGTCTGAATGAATAGGCCTCAAATGAAAAATATTATATAAGCTAGTTAACCAAAAATCACCCCCATACTCATGGACATTTGTTCATGGATGTGTTCATTTGTGTTGGTATACATTTCCTCATTTCAGTAGATCATGTATATTTGAACCTGGAAATTTATCCTAATGGCAGAAAGTATTGAGAGTCATGACTCTCAACTTCACTGGTGTAGGTTGTGCAGGCTGTGTGAGTTTGGCCTGTTAGAATGAAGCCTGATTTTTAGGGAATCTCCTCAGGGAGAGTGACACAGAGCTGCTGAAGCCCCTGATTACAGGGGCCCAAAAGGTTGTGTGCACCCACCCTGGTTCCAGAAGAAGACTTACAAGGAGGAAATCATGACTATTTTTAATTGTAGCATTTTAATATTTCATTTTTTAAATGACCTCTATGAAAAAGAAATTGTGATCAGCCTGGCGTACAGGCGGTGGCTCATGCCTGTAATCCCCAGCACAGCACTTTGGGAGGCAGAGTAGGCTGGATCAGGAGTCAGGGAGATCAAACTCCATGTCTGTGGATAATATGGGTGAAACCCTGTCTCTACTAAAAATACAAAAAAATTGGCGAGTGTGGCGGTGGGTGACTGTAGTCCCACTTTCGGGGGAGGCGAGGCAGGAAGAATGGTGTGCTTGAACACAGAGGTGGAGCTTGCAGTGAACCAGAGATCCTGCACTGCACTCCAGCCTGGGAACAGAGGAGACTCTGTGTCTCCCAATAAAAAAAAAAAAAAAATATATATATATATATATATATATATATGATCAGTAGACTAGAGTAATTTGGGTAGGTGAATCTCATTTCACTGTTAATTTAAGTAATTAATCCTTTAAATGAATGTTAGATGTAGTACCGAACTTAATTGGTCTAGTGTGCTTACGGTCTTGAATAAATTAAGAAAATGCTGTGTGTTTTGAAAGAGTTTCAAAGCTTTGAGAGGGAGGAAGGTACTCTTCCATTGACCCTTGAGCCCTGCACAGTTCCAGCATTTGGGATTGACTGTTTTTGTGTTACTGCATGATGCCTCTGAGTACAAGGCCAAGGCCTCGCCTTATACATGTCTTTCCACCCATACCTTCTCTGCCATCCTCTTCTCAGGGGCCAGCGGGATCAACTCGGTCATGCTTAATCAACCACTTTCCATAACATCCAACAGAAGCTCCTGCTCCCCTTCTCTGCCATCCCTCTTCCACTCAGGGGAATAGCCCAGGATCAACTCAGTCCAGGCTTGTTAATCAACCACTTCCACATGGCACATCCAGCAAAGCTCCCTGAATGACTCACAGTCACAAACACCCAGGGCACTGATCTTTCTTCTGTGTCCTTCCAGGTTCTTCTGAGGACAACCTGAGTTTAGTGAGACCACCACAAAGTGAAGATTATGATGGTGATGGTGATGATGATGATGATGATGATGTCCAGGTAAGACCACCTTTCTTTGTCTTCTAAGGAAATGTTGGTTTTCTGATATGAGAAAAAAACTCACCCGTTGAAACCCAAAGAATGGACTCAGGGAGCTGAAAAACAGCAAAAGTGAAATTTTCCCTTACCTCCCCTCCCCTCCCCTCCCCTCCCCTCCCCTCTCCTTTCCTTTCTTTTTTTTGAGACAGAGTCTCGCTCAGTTGCCCAGGCTGGAGTGCAGTGGTACAATCTTGGCTCCATCTCCTGGGCTCAATGTATTCTGCCTCAGCCTCCCAAGTAGCTGGGATTACAGGCATGTGTCCCCATGCCCAGCTAATTTTTGTATTCTTAGTAGAGACAGAGTTTCAGCATGTTGGCCAGGCTGGTCTTGAACTCCTGACCTCAGATAATCCACCCACCTCAGCCTCCCAAAGTGCTGGGATTACAGGCATGAGCCACCCCGCCTGGCTGAAAGTGAGACTTTTAATGACAGTGTTGCAAGATCTGGTGTCTGATGGGAAGACACACCCAGCACAGTTTCCACAAGCAATTTATCCCCTAGTGTGCAGGTCCCTCCCCTGGTTCCTCATAGGCTGAGTACTGTGGGGTCACAGTCTTCCCAGGTGTTGCCTATTGATTTTTGGGGAAGGGGTTTTAGGTATTTTTCTAGGGTTGTCTTACTGCATTTTGTTGCAGCCCACAATGCATTGCCATCCTAGTCAGTTCAGGGGCTCTTCAAGAATTTGACTTATGACCTAAGTAGCTGGGCAGGCTGATAAGAACAGACAAAGTGAGCTATTTTGCAGGCTAGTAAACTTTCATCTTAGACTAAACTTTGGTTGAAGTGAGGGCAACTAAGTGGGGAGGAGGGGGGCCCAAGAAGCAGGCATTGCCCATCCAAGCAGGAGCCTGGCATATCCTATTTCTTCTGTCCTTTGCTGACCTAGACTGGTTCAAAGCACTTTGTGTTAAAAATGGACCACTGTATACATTATTTCCTTCACCTGACTTCTTTCCTTCTCAATTA